TTTATTTGAAAATACATACTTATTATATATACAATTAATATTAACTATAACTAAATGAAAATATATACAACTTAAAATATAAATAACTATGAACTAAAATATTTACACCTTAAAAAAAAGGTAATAATAAATAAATAAGCTATAATAAGGCATCAAAAAAAAAATTTTCCTCATCATTATCGTGAGGTAGGGTGCCCAAAAGACTGGCAGCATTACCACGTTGAATGGCAATGCTTAACCTTTGTCCAAGGTAGAAGCCAGCCCTTCGATCACCTGAAGTGTCAACCATCCTCTTTACAATATCTTTGTAAAGAAGATGTGCACTTGGGCCCCACGGCCCTAAAGTTTCAACCCCAAACGGTTCGAAAGCATAATTGCCAATCAGGCTATCATACTTTCGCCGTTTGAGGTTCTCGGCAGCAGCAGCGGCAGCACCGGCTCGACACGCTGAGTTTGGAAGATGGGATGGCGCCAGAGTATCAACGCAAGTGGCGTCCCATACTAAAGGCCTACCCATCTTCCAAGGGAATAATGACATACCGTCGGGTCTCTTGCCATCGTTGCGTACCAAGCCATTAGGTTCTAAAGTAGCTGGCACGCCAACGGAGACAAGAGCTCGACGAATTATGTCATTAATACTCGCGTGTCGAGCAAAACGACCCGCACTACGGCTACACGACAAGCCGTGGTGTCCAAGGCTGTTGACATCTTCACCACAACGACAACGATGAGGTGAACAAAATGAAGCCCCAAGCCTTAAACAAATAATTCTTATGTAAGTTGTAAGTTGACACATGTTAGGAACATAAAAAGTATCGTGTTTATAATTGTTGCACTTAAAAGTATAAAATATTAAATGCTTGCTTAATAAAATAAAGTGGCATTTTTTATTTAAAACTTAACGTACAGGACATGTAAAACGAACTATAAGTTAGATACACGCACTTTAATCATTGCTAGACTTTCAATGTGATGATCACACAGAAACGAACCAAATACTATTTAAAGTGATAAAGTGCCTCATAACTTACGAACACTTTTAATCACCAGTTATTAATTAACCTTTCTTCAATAATAAAGTTTACTGGAGTTGTAATTCAAATCCTCTAAAAATCGGAAACACATTAAAACAATGGATGCCGTGTCGGACAATGATGTCCGACGCTAGCGGAGGATTGGCCTTTAACAGTATTTATCGGCAGTTAAAGCCTTAATTGTCATTACTCTGGGCAATGCCGATAACTAACCCAAACTTATGACATTACATTTTCATAAAAAAATTAACAAAACTTTTAATTACATTCCAGGTATCATCCTTAATATACGTGATAGTAGCAGTGAAAGATGTCAACGTGAATAGGGACAATAAAGTGTCTGTCTGTAATTGGAAGCTACCGTTCAATGCAGTGTACTGTCTAGTGAAGCCTAGAGAGGGACGCAAGAGAACTATTATATTCCTCATGCTGGTGGTCACGCTTGGAGATAGGATGCTGTTATCTGGTTAGTTTAAGATACCCACTTTCGTATTACAATTTAAATTAACCTCTTGACTGCTGGTATAAGACACAATAGATAAATAATATATTGTGTTTCGTATGAATCTTCGTTCCGGCCTATGACGGGTTAAATAATTGTCTATATTTTTTTTTTATGAATTTGCGCGTTCGTACCGAACATAGTAACAAACGTAATGTTAGTTATGTAGAGGATATGTACAATGTAATTTTATAGCCATTAGGTTATGTTATGCGGCCCATATTAGAAAGGGTGAGTCAAACACCGACCTACTAAGTACCAGTTATATTGTGAGTTGGTGAGCCGTATGTAAAAGAGGGTGAGTCATACATCAGCCATAATTTCAGATTCCATCCTATTTTCGGAAATAGATAATCCTATATTATATAATGTTTCTGGAGTAAAGAAAGTGTGGGTGTTATTAAAAAAATTAAAATACGTTTATAATAAAAAGTATCAGAACACCTTTTTTTCAAACTGCTACTAGATGGCGTGTCAGTGCCTTTGTCTCTCTCTACGCTCGTGTAATCAATCCATTTTCACCGTTGCGCTACGATTTCTTGCTACGCTTCAGGCGTTCGTTCCAAATGATATCAATAGATGGCGGTGATGCAAAGAACATCTTCATACCAATTTCCCTCGGGCTCGGATGAAATAATAAAGAATTAATTAATATCTGACTACGAATAGAATAGGGTCTGGATATATATAATAGCGCATATAGGCTAGCCTATTATGCAAACACCGAAAAAAAAAATAGATTTTTTTTCGATGTATGTTTAGCAATATCATCATCACTATCACACTCGACTTTTCACGGGTGAATAATAGATTTTCCAATAAATATGTGCATCTCTGCCTACCTCTTTGATGATTAAAAGGCGTAATGTTGACATTGTTGACATTATATGTTTTAATAAGTTGTTTACATCCATGCAATGATTAACAAGTTATTTATTTAATTATAGCGGAGGTGTTAATCGCCTACATGTACTACCGGTATAAGTTCCACTGGACTGACGTCATGTTCGGGTCCTACCTCGCATACAAGAACATTGTTAGTTTCATTGGTACGTATTCCTTAATTTATAAGTAATAATAATAATAATATTATAATTTGTGTGTATCTTTTTTACTCAATCGCTTTAAAACGGCTGAAGGGAACGGGTTGAAATTTGAAACAGAGATAGATTATGATCTGGAATAACACATAGGCTAGTTTTTGTCCCACGAAGGCGAAGCCGCAGACAGAAGCTAATATTATATAATATTCAATGCCCTAACGACTAAAGAAGCTGAGTTTGGATACTCCATTCATTGTCATCATCATCAGTACTTAATCGGCGATACTTAATCCTTGATTTTTATAAAATTTCCAAACCTCAATGCCACCAAAAAATGACATTACCAATTTTTTATCTGACAAAAAACAGCGTGTTATTATTAACTTGTAGTCTCAGATCTTCAGAATTCAGATTCAAGGAAGCCCAATTATTTTTATGCAGACTACTTAAAGTTTAATATTTTCACGTCTTCCAGAAATTTATTCTTTATTAATTTTCGGGCTTACTCACGTAATTTTTTGACGACGAACTCAACTAGTTTCAAGCCATACTAGAGGCTCATATTCTTGAGCAACATTCCGCGACATATAAAGTAGCAGTACAGAATTACGTTAGTAAGCTTAAAAACATAATTATTAACTTAGTATGTCTCACGAAACATACCTATAATATAAATAAAAACTATTGGGGGATCATCGTACCACAAGACAATCGGCGGAGCGTCACCGATTCATGGTAGATGGTGACATCTTCATCATCCTACCAACACGCACAAATCGCTTCGCATCAAGCTTCCTTGTGCGTACTGCTAAGGAGTGGAATTCTTTGCCAGAGTCTGTATTTCCTGAAGGGTATAACCTGGGTGTCTTCAAGACTCGAGTGAATAGGTTGCTTGTGGGTCGACATGCTCCATCGTAGGCCACATCATCGCTTACCACCAGGCCAGATAGTGGTCAAACGTCAGTCCCATATAATATAAAAAAAAAGTTTTGTGTTACAAATTGTTTATATTTTCCAGGTACATTGTTAATTCTGTCAATACTAAAGCGTCGGTTACGACTATCCGACGAGACGGTGGGCATGCTGAGCTGTGCCTCCTACATCCTTGCTACCTCGGGCCTTATTGCGGCCACCATGACGTGGTGTGTTTTCATGTGTAAGTATCAAAGAACGTATGACTTTTTTAAGTTAATATTTTTGAGCATTGAATTTGAAATCATGATGATATTATTTTAAGACGGACCGAACATGTCTCTATTACTGAGATAAGAGGAAAGGGTATCCAATATCCATAGAACTAAAGATATATGACTAATATAAAGACTATTAGATACCTAGGTAATAGTTTTGATACTCAGGTACGATTGTTTATCTTCTCTGAACATGTAGGTAGGTAAACTATACCTGTACCTCTGTTGTGAATCACGACATGCATGACTGATAAAATAACCTAAACCAAAAACTCGAGAGCGCAGTAGCTTGTAGAATTGTTAAGGTTCTGTCTATAAGATAATAAGACTCTAAGTTTCATTATCATACTAGCCACTAGCTACAACACATCCACTGCTTGCTCATAGCCATAAACTTCCCACAATCTAGTTCAAACTTAATTTCATAATTTTGTGTTCCTTACAACATTTGCTTTATTTTTAGATTGATTCCCACCCATTAATTTCGCTACTTGTGGATCAATAAAGAATAATTAATTCAATTGAGTTTGAATTATAGTCATTAAATTGAATGATTGAGTTTGAATTTTATTATTTTTGTTTTGGATTATAGCTCCTCCCATTTCATTCATTCACTTTCATGACATTCACTTCATTATAGAGTGACATATAATGCGACTTTGTGACATACTCCACGCCTGAATCACTGTTTTCCAAAATACAAGCTTATAGCTTAGTTTGGAGGGCAGTGTCAGTATCGATCGTAATTCACACTCGTTCATGTAATTGCCGCATTTCTGTGAATGTAAAATTTTTGTACAATAAACAATTTTTATTATTTTATTATTATTATTAAATGTTGTCGTTGTAATATTGCAACTATGAAATTTTTAAAAGAAATAGAGACTATCACACTAATATGATATAAATTTGAAAGCTTTTTTTTGGATGTTTGTTCGTTATCACACTGAAACTACTGAACGGATTTTGATGTGGTATACGGGCAGGTATGGGTTGACTTAGGTGATAGGATTTTTATACCGATTCTATGGAATGGAATAATCGCGGTTCACCCGCGTAGAATATGATTCCTAATATATCCCGGATACGATTCCTAATATAATAATAAGTTCCGGGCAACAGCGAGTAATTAATAGAGAACAATCAGATTTGTTTTACAAGCTTTGTTTACATTTAAATCTAAACCAAGACTACAGTCACTGTGGAACTCTAAAAAGAAATTATCAGTTAGTCACCATAGATAAATAGATAATAAAACTTAATAAATCATTGTTTGTTTTCTTCAATGTTACATCGAATGATATCACTAAGCAGTCGTAGGGAAATCACTGACTGCTTATTCATGTATAAATTAATAAATAACATAATAGATTGCCCAACCCTTCTGAAAAAAGTCAATTACCGAGTGCCTGCCAAATACCCGCGTAACCGTATCGCGCTTCTGTATCCACCTCGTCGCAGGACTGTCTTGGGCGCTAAATCTCCATTACCAAGGCTGAGTAGATTGCTAAACGACTGCAGTGACTTAGTGGATATTCACGCGTCATCGTTGGTTGGGTTCCGGTCTGCGCTGTTGAAGCACTTATCAACAAAGAGTTGACAGATGGTGTCTAAATCTACGAGTGTATAAAAGTCGTTACCACACGCATGAGGAAAATTTACTGTTTTTTTTTTATATTGTTTCTTTTGTTACTGTTTTCGTGTTTAAAATTAATTTCATATACTTAGTTTTCTTAAAAAATCATATCAAGTTTGTTTTAGATGTAGGATAATAATTTTGTAAATGCTGTATTTACCTATAAGTGTTTGTTACACTTACTGTTAAGAACTCACATTTGTATCTCGACAATTGTATTGGTGTAAACAAATGTTGGTAAATCATAAATAAATAAAATAAAAAAAAATGTTTTTTGGCCGTGATTTTTTATCACATTTTTCTTTTATCATGGCGACGAAGCAAAATAAGGTGATAAACAATATTTACATAACTGAAACGATCAATAAACTTCCTTGTATACACAGCAGAGGTCACAGAGAACAAAATCCAAAAATATGAATCTGAATTGCCTTTTTCTAGGACATTATTGTTATGCTATTCATCAACAGTCATGACTATTCACTGCCAGCCAGTGAACGGCATCTACAAAATCACCTGATGATAAGCAATCGGCGTCGCCCATGGACACCTGAAACACCAGAAGCGTCACAAGTGTGTGACCGGCTTTATGGGATTGGGATCAAATTCATTGTACAATGGCATAGTGTGCACCTCTGCCTACCTTTTCGGGGATAAAAGGCGATAGTATGTTACCTATACTAATCCCAAAAGGCCGGACTGTTGAGGATTCAGGGATTGGGGAGATTGGGGGGGGGGTTATGTCTCCGTAACTGGACGAAACACAACGCAAGCGTTGCTTCACGCCGGTTTTCTGTGAGGCCGTGGTATCACTCCGGTCGAGCCGGCCCATTCGTGCCGAAGCATGGCTCTCCCACAAAAATAACTTTGCAAGGGTAAAATCAAAGTCCTACTTACTTCCCTACACCTTCTTAATTACGAATCCTATCTCAATTCGATCAATCATTGTAATCATTTTTCGGAACATAAAAATATGCACGTGGTACACATGACCATCATAATCGAACTTAATGACTATTAAAATCTACGATAGATGTATAATTTTGATTAAATAACCAAAAGGGGATCAGTTGTTGATAATGAAAGAACACGCACCAAAATCGATTATCTAAAATCGTTAACCCCTAACAAACAGTTCGTTTTTGACCACGTGACTTATCGAGGACAATAAAAATTCCTATACAACAAGACACGTTTAGGAACAAGACAATCTTGTTCCTAAACCGATAACGAGTATCGATACTAAACTTCCTAAGCCTGATGATCCTTGCGTACTTAGGTACTATCGATTGAAAATGTTACATGAGGTAATACATAAAATTAGGAACTCTATTCCACAATGATTAGGTACTTTATCATTTGATAACATGTAGATTGGATGGAAACACGAGCCCATATCAACAATCGGATATCAAAATAAGAACATTTTAAATATCACGAAATTGTGTTAAGAAATTCAGATATCGATAAATAAGTAGGTAGATGCTGTTTGGCACGTAGCCAATAGCTATAAGTACTAATGTACCACCTACCACACTGAAAATTTCATAAGGTTTATACGTTACGTATGCTTTGAAGTTTATTCTTTGTGTGAATTTAAAATGAATAGGCGGCATAGGTTCAAAAGTCAATTTACCTATAGATTAGCATGTGTATACTTATTGTTACAACTATAACATAACATAACGGTTTTTTATCCCCGAAGTGGTAGGCAGCGGTGCACATTACGGCACTTAATGTCACTGTACAATGTAACATCTACTTTTCACTATATATGTTCTGAGTCCCATGTAATAGGAGGTGAGCCTATTGCCATATATTGGGCACAATCCCAGATACCGTGCTCTCAGGAAGAACTGATATTTTTTTAAGAAATCCATTAATTTTATTCCCGACCCGAGAATCGAACCCGAGACCCCGTCAACAAGGCAGCCATTTCTTAAGTTTCTACTATTTACATACCTACTTAATTATATGTGTAATAATAACTAATCAGGTGAAAACCAATATTAGGTGATTTGAATTAATTTGAAAACTAGCGTAATTAAATTATTTTATATGTAATATGTATTCTAGGAAACAAATTTGCACCATAATTTCAATTTATTGTTTTAAAAAACATCACGTGTTTTTGTTCCAGTGCCCTTGGTTGGTATTATTGCACAAGGCTCGCAGGTGGTACAAAGACCTCTACTGAATAAGCAGATATTACCGACAGAACAAGGTAAATATTCATTTCATTGTAATTTAGATTGTAATCTCTTCCCGACTAGTTCCGGTTTTCTGTGTACGACACATTATTTTATTTTCATTTTTGATGAACACAGACAATATTTTAACAAAGTGTAATTATCAAGGTAATGTTGTTAGAGCCGACATATAAAGCATACAGCATCAGCATCATTATAATTTAGCAAAAACTCAAAACCAATTTTAATTCCCCCGAAAAAACTTGGTCCGATCACAAAATGTTGTATTCAACATTTACTTCTATTCCTAAACAACTAAGCGTCATTTTCGTTTACAGGTAAAATTTACAGCGTGATGGGCTCTTTAGAATCGGCTATGCAGACGATGTCTTCACCTTTATACTCTTTGCTTTACACAAAGACCGTTGCAACTATGCCAGATGCATGGCTACTGCCAGGCATAGGACTAGCATTTATCCAACTATTTTCATATTTAATATCAAGGAAACTACGGCAATCACAAGACTTAAAAACAAATCCAACAGATCTCGCTGAAACTGGGAAGAATACAGAAGCTAAAATACCATTGCGAACTAAGGAGGTTAAGTAGTATTTATTACTTTGTATTTAATTTTGTTAAGTGAACAAAAAGCATTTTGTAAACAAAAATGTTAATTAAGTTAAGGGAAATAGATTATTTTTTATATAAATGTGTCTTTTATTTCTGTGTCTAAAAGAAATTTAATGTTTTGTATTACTACTAACTCTGGATCCTGAAATAACAAGTAAGAGGTTTTTGGAGTAATTCTCATTTCCATGCTTCATCAAAATGGGTACATAAAAGTCATTTTTAATAACTGTCTACTGTTCTCTACTACTTATCAATAAATTATCACAGATAGGTACTGTTCTGATCTTTAGCCTAAGAATATCTAATTATCGTGATTAGCAATCAAAAATATGATCTAAAATTAGGAACTTAAAGCACATTATAAATTCTATATATTAGGGATTACTGTTTTAAAAAATGGTGCAATGCGGAGTAATCATTTAGCGACTTTGACTTTGGATTTGAAACATAAATAGTTTGTTTTTTATTTCAACTTTATCGTTATTATCAGTCCATCGTTATCTCGGCTCTCGGTGAAATGAAAGCAACTGTCATTTCTTCAGCTTGTTTGATAAACCTTATCGTGCATCTGCCGATACTTCAAGTTCAAACACATAAGGAAGTATCTCATCTTTAATATTCAAAGAATCATTGTTTTGTTATGGTATCAATCAAAAAATCGTCTCAAAGTTTCCATTGATTTTATTTAATGGATAAGCCGATATAAGAGTGGACGGATCACCTAATGGTAAGCAATCGGCGTCGCCCATGGACACCTGGAACACCAGAGGCGTTACAAGTGTGTCACCGGCCTTTTGAGGATTAACTCGTCGAGTACCGTCATTATAAACACAATTATAGAACAATAGGTTGCGGTCACCGGTGACCGCTTGGTGTTTGACAGTTTAAGGGATTGGGGAATTGGGGGGGGGGGTAATTAGGCCTCCTTATATAATACATTATGTGCAGATATGATATGAGTTCCATGGAATAGTGGAATATTGGGTTACTTTAGTCATACAACGGACACCATTCCAGTCTTCGGTATCACAGAGCATTATGAAAATTTGGTTATTAGAAAACGCTCATGACATATGGAAGAAACGGTTCATTTGAACTTATCCAGTATAATACATCATTTCGTCATATCTATCTTCCAGTGGAGTAATCAGGGACAATGGAACCAAATAGAACGGCTTTAGCAAATGCCTTTAGCCCCGTGTATGTAGACATTTATCATCGTTTCCCACAGTCTCGTTGATTGAGAGTACTATTGATCGGACGAATGAGCCTATACTGTCTAAAATTCTGGATATCTCTCATTCAAAGCTATGTAATTGTAAAAATATTCCTAGTATCGGAAAGCCAGCAAATTGATCTAGGACATCATGCTCGGTAACTACTCACATAAGTTAATAGATAAACAAATAGTGTATTGGATTTTTTTTATCTACACTCTATCCATAATAATCCATGTCTATGATATTATCTAAAATCCTTTGTTTTTGTTTTTAAGTTGTTTTGTTAACTTCAAATGTATTATGAACCCTACATATAAATGATTAGGCATGCTGCTATTGCCAGTGTTTGGCCAGGTGGGTAATTAGTGACCGATACGATGACTTCAATAATTCACGTGCTATCCTTTATACATCTGCTTTAATTCATGTAGAATGACCATCAATAATAAATATGAAACATTTAATGTATTCTAAACTCCTTCCTAACGAAACTAACGACAGAAATAATGAGAACACATGCTAGATATTTCACAAAATAAAAGTAGTTAAATTACTTTATACCTAGTTTATAAAAAATACATTTCAGTGTATTCTAACATTTTAAAGTTACATGGAGAATGTGTGATATGTGTGTGTGTGTGTGGTTTTTTTTTATATACTTTATAGGTCGACGCTTGACCACCATTTCGCCTGATGGTAAGCGTTGATGTGGCCGACGATGGAGCACGCCTACCTATGAGCAACCTGTTCACTCGGGACTTGAAGACACTCAAGTTATATATGTCGGGAAACACAGACTCTGGATATAATTTAAACATGAAGCCATTTATTTAATACTGAGAATTTCGAAAATCCAAAAATCAATAAAGGAAGAACCTTGAATAACAACAGCGTATTTTTTACTGAAAAACGCAACGAGCATTATCTTAGTAAGGTCACTTGTTGTGAATTATCACACTCAATATAAAGCCACAAAATGGGAGATTACTTACAAACCTATACCATAATAAAAGATAATAATTACGATTTTTTCTGTGGGGGAAAAATCATCCAATGACTTCTCTCGCCTGGGTGAGGCGAGAGGCAGTGTCAGACTCTTACTAACTTAAAACCACCCTGTTCCTACTTCTGCACTTCGAGACGAAGCTCCGGTAACCCGTTAAGTCCTCCGCGGCTCCCAGTTATTTTACTTGCTATCACAATACTAATATGGAAATACACCATTCATTCGTTCCTTCCCCAATTACACCACTATACAACATATCTTTTAATCTCAATACAACAACCTAATGAATCACTTTTTATCGTTTAGGTATTCTTTATCTTAATAGACGGTTCTATCGCTATGATAATCTTAATTCAATACCTACCTGAGGCGCTCCATGATTGCATAATCTCCTTCAAGATTTTGATCTCCAGTTTTCAAAAAACCTTGAAACATTTAAGGACAGCCACCTCTAGGTTCACTCTAGGGTGCTTTATACGAGGCGATGTTTTTTGTTGTTTGGAGTATTAGATATTGTCCAGACTAGATCTTTTATGTTCTTCTATTTTGCCAACGAAAATTTTCAAATACTTTCCCTTATCTTAATTCTATATTCAGATCGTTGTTAATTACAACACATAGTTAGAAATCGATGAATCACCTGACCTGGTTACATTAGTAAGAGACCAAATGCTTGGATAAGTTTTCGAATCTGTAATCTGAAGGGTATTTCAATGTCGTCGGTGAAAATCTCAAACAAGCTAAAACAGGATAAATATCGCTCTCATTTTGACATATTAAAGCCCATGATATTATTGTATACGTGTAAAATTAAGAACCGTAAAGATAGGTCGCATTAATAGCCTTAAAATACTTTATTAAGGACAAGATAGACGCTATTTATTGCACGATAGTATCATAAATTATCAAAGGATCATTTACTGAAGTGTGTCAATTTTTTAATGCATTGGATTACTACAAATTATACTGCACTGCAGGTGATTGTAATGATTCTAGAGACGCAAAACCCATCACATAATCACATCGCGTCTCCCACACAAATTGACCTATGTAATAAAGAAGTCACACCATAGAACAAAATAGTTTCTATGTGTCCCACAGCAATGACAAGGTCTTTTTCAAACCTTTATGATGAATTATTTTTACAAAATAAAAGAGAACGGAGCGATACCCGATACACAAAAACAAAGAGAGACCGTCGTGATTTATAGCGATAGCATAACTCTGTCAAATAATCCGATAAAAAAAAGTATAAATACATGCCGCACCCCAATCTATTAGCAGATTGTAAAATCGAACGGTAGATCTACCAGTGAATTTTTATTACAATTTTTTATTTGGAAATAATATCAAGTAAGTACAAACAATTATTGAGAAGAAAACCTATAGTGAAATCCGTTGCCATGTTATTTAAAAAATCAGTGAATCTTTAAGTTTTTCAAGAGTTTATTCGGAATCATCTGTCTTTAGTGCGACTCAATTCTGGTGTGATTGAAAAATACGATATTTAATTAGAGAAATTTGTTCCCAGAATGCAACGCCCAGGCCCAGGATTTAACCAAGGTTTCGGCCCCGGTGGCATGAACAACGGTATGCCCATGCACCCAGGCGCGCCTGGTGGTCCTGCAAGGTTCAACAACCCAGGAGGTCCTATGTACGCACCAGGCTATGGCCAGCCCATGGGAGGCCCACAACAGCCTCACCAGAGCTTCCAGCCAAACAATGGATGCTTTATGCCGGCAGCCACCATCCGCAAGATCAGCAACACGACGCCACCACAAAGATTCGACCCCTCGTTTGGTCAATAATTCTTGATCCGCCTGAATCTCTGCCTGTATAGTATACCGTTATGCTAACTTAAGTTATTGTTATATTATTTAGATAAGTTTTAAAATAAACAGTTGTACAACTAATCTGGTCTTTGTATAAGTATAATTATTCATTACTTATTATTTATCTCCTTTTCGTGTCGCTCCTGATACATTTATTTTATTTGTACTATAATTACTTTAACAAGCTCTAATATTAAGATACAAATTGTCTCTTGAGATGAACTTGTCAACCCAATAAATTAACAAAAATATAGGAATACAAAAGTATCGAAATAAACTCAATTAATCCAGTTCGAAGTAGTTTTATTGATGACTAATTGATAAAAATAATCCTTTCTTAGGCTAAATAAATGAAGGACACATAATTAAAATTACGAGCAAAACAGGCAATGGTTGATTTGCTTGGAAAAGTAGCGATAGATGCGCTGCGCCTATTATAATATAAATCCAAATTTCAATGGATTTATGCAAGGTTGATTTTGATAATGAATACAAACACTCACAATGAGTTTGTTTACATACAAAATTACATCCAAATTGGTGGACTAGACCTTTGGAAGCTGAAAATGGAGAAGAAAAAATATAGGTAAGATTGGCTGCTTTACTTGAGACGTATCCTCGAACCGAATGGCCTTGAAATTGCTTAAACATTGGATCGATTTTAATTTAATAAAGCAACTCAGTGTTATCTTTGCCAACAGCTTAAGATAGTAATAAAAACAAAGATCGATATATCAGACAAATCCATAAAAGATAAAGACGGAATATTGCAAACACTGCAATGTCTGCAATAGATAGGTATCAACAATTTAATTTTGTAGTATAATAAGCCTGAGTGCATACAAAACGTAGGACTTTTTGTACGGGACGCGCTGTTGTACAACGCGGCTGTGTAGCGGCTATTGATGAAAATTCTCGCAGGCGCTCTGTTTCACCTAGTCGGTTACAAGTACTTACAACTTACTGTTTCAAGCAACGCCAAGCGAATATTATTT